CGAGAAGAAGAAAGATATTACTTTGTCAGACGTATGTTTTTCCTCTAGTCTCAAAAAGTTACGCATTTCATGCATTTACAACCCCCCATGTGCAGCCTCATGCATTTTAAAAAAAAAAGAAGCCTTATGTAAAATCCTATGTATAATTTCATCGACTTATAGTCATACTTGTATACTATAAGACGATTTTAATCTTCATTGTTTGGTCAATACCTATTAGCTTGGCAATTTTTGTCACGATTTGTTCATAGAAACTTGTAACACCCTTACCAAATTGATTACAAACAGTACCTGATTACATAATATTTTGGATCTTATATTACTCAATGATAAAAGAAATGTATAGAACGTAGTAACTACTGCCCTTTTCACCAGTATCTGTGACCATTGTACCATTATCTTTAATTTCAATTTGGGAACCTTAATAAGCAGTAAAAAAACCATCATTTCCAATTTCATATAATTTCCATAAGGCCAACTATAACAATATTAACAAAGATTTAGTTAATGTAAACTGGTACAATCTAGCTGAGCAACATCATAATGTTGACTCATTCTGGCACGGTATGTGACGTTTTGAACTCAAGTATTTTGTTACACGTACCAGCACTCTGTAAAAAAGATACAGTTCACCACATGCATGTCGAAATTTAGCATCTAAAAAACGTATTCTATACTAAAAATGCAAAATAAAGTTTAATTTAAACACTTTTACCAAATATAAGAATTACTTACGTCACATACGATGCTGAAATTATAAAAAATGCTTTTAATATAGATAAAGATAATGTCAATAAAGAAAATATCAACTCATTCATCAATTTCAAATTCAAGCGTCTTCATTCTGTTGCTCCACTTGCAAGTTTTGATCGTTTCGTTTGTTTAGACGATTGTTAAAAAACGCGTATTTTGAACAACATTTTTGCATCTGTTTTCATCACTGACCGTGTTGTGTATCCAACATAAGATTTTCCATCTTATCATAATTCTTTGAGTAACATATTATTTCCATATGATTCTGTCACTTCATTGCTACAAAAACTCCCAACAAAGGTTTGCAAATCTTCGGATGGTTACACTCCAATATTTTTAAAATCAATTGCAACTACCATTGCCATTCCTCTTTCTATTTTGTTAGAAATGTCAATGACCACCAATACTAAACCAAAAATTTGGAAATAAGCAATAAGTTGTCCAACTTTTTAAAAAAGGCAACCCTTTTCTACCATTTAACTACAGACCTATTTTAATGACTTGTATCGTTTGCAAAGTTATCGAATCACAATCATTGCTTAAACCATAAAAAAAACTATCTGTTAGTAAATAACTTTTTTTCTCAACATCAATTTAGTTATATAAATTGCAGAATCACATGCTCACAAATGCTGGCAACTTTAAACGAATGAACTACTGCAGTAAATAGCAAAGAAATAGTTGACATCATCTATATTGATTTTAAAAAATCATTTGATTCGGTAACTCATCCTAAACTAATGTTCAAATTGCAACACTATGGTATTAAATACGAACTGTTTAATAAAATTAAAAATTTTGTAACTAATCGCTCTTTATGTGTGTGTGTGTGTGTGTGTCGTATTCCAACCTCGTATTCCAAAAACATTCCAATAAAGCGTGGAATACTTCAAGGATCTGTTGTAGGACCTATATTGCTCTTAATATTTATTAACAACATAGTTTACTGCACTGATGGAAGTTGTAATATTAAGCTTTGCAGATCATATTAAATTGTATTAATCGAGAAATGATTACAACAACATTCACCTTGTAAACACTTTAAAAAAAATCTCGGCATGGTCCAATGATTGACAACTAAAAATATCAACCAACAAATGTTTTATTTATGCTACGGATGGTATAGTATACTTACCCTTATTCATTAAACTCCGTTACCAATATTAAAACTGTTTGCTTATTTCAGGATATTGGAATCGCTATGTTCTTTCTCAAATCACTGCTCTCGTATTTCAAGCATTGCACACTTTCGTTTTCTCACCTTTTAAAGTCCTTCTTCTCTAACAATTTTTAACTTTTGATAAAAAAACTTTTGATTATTTCATTATGCTTACAAAAGTAATGTGCGGCTTTATTATTATTAAGGTCTACATCTATTCAAATCTTTCACTCCAGTGGAAGTTTTGATTCAAGTCTTGATTTGATTCAAATCTTTCACCCCAGTGTCTGCAAAAGGTATCATATGGATGGTTAAGCGCCAAACCTACTTGTACAACAAAGTTGAAAAAAGTTGTTTATGGTGTGTTTCTTTGCAAACACCTATATACTGTACTTTAAATTTTTAAACTTCAATTAACTTTAACTTTTTTATATGCTTTTAATTGGTTTATATGCTTTTGTTAAAAACTTTTAAACTTTTTTTTCACAATTACTCTTATTCAAGTGTTTTTCATTACTATTTTTCAAAAGGTGTTACATAAGAGTAATTTAGTAATTATCTCACCATGTCTGTGCAGTAGTTATCATGTCTTTAGTATCATGTTTTTGTAAATATTATGTCTTTAGTAGTAATTATCATATACTATATAATTAGTTTAGTAGTAAATATCTTTAGTCTAATTTAGTAATTATTTCAACAGTCTCACCATTTTATATTTTGTACATTTTTTTCAAATACAAATAAATAAATAAATAATAATAGACTAGACGGAGGGAGAACAAGGCCGAAAATCGTTTAAAATCGTGGTACTTAATTAGAGTCTTACCAGTATAACTATTCCAGCGGGTCAAGGCCTTTGCATTGAAAAAGCAAAATTTCAAAACCTAAAAGTATCTTTTAAAAGATAAAGTCGAATAGAGTTACTCTCTTAAAAGTTAATTGGACTCTATCAAAAAGTAATCACAACAAAACTACCTAATGTAATACCTAATTTTTTGAATACCTCGATACTAGGTATAAATATCATAGTTTTTAGACAATCTCTACTACTTGTTTGAATCTTTTCTTTTCCTTTCTTGAAGTTGTTCCTTAAAGAACGTTTTTTCGGCAAAGAACTTATTCAATTTTTTCTAGTTATTGTGTTGTAGTTTTTGCTGTACTTTGATTACTTTTTGACGTTTTTAAACAATATCATTGGATAATTTTTTTTTAAAGTTAATTGAAAATTGTGCTACTGCTAACACCGTTCCTTGAAAAATGACGTATTTTTACTTTGTTCTCACTCAAGCTCTATGATCTCTCTAGAAAAACTATAAATTAACACTGTTCCTTGAAAAATGACCTACTTTTACTTCGTTCTCACTCCAACTATACGATCTCTCCAGAAAAACCAAAAACTAACACTGTTCCTTAAAAAATGACGTATTTTTACTTCGTTCTCACTTAAGCTCTATGATCTCTCTAGAAAAACTAAAAACTAACACTGTTCCTTGAAAAATTACGTATTTTTACTTCGTTCTCACTCCAGCTATATGATCTCTCTAGAAAATCTAAAAGCTTTAGAAAAAGGCCGCCTAGGGCACTCGTCAAAAAATCAAAAATGGATTGCTTTTATAAGATAAGAATTTCGTACGTTTACAAAGTAATCTGCCTCTTGAATTTTTGCTATTTTATACAATGATATATATATTATCTAGATGTCTAACTTATGACGAAAAATCGAGCTGCTTTTTTTTTTTATAAATATAGTCCACCATTTGTTAAAAGGACAAACGCTAAAGCCAATATGTGTAATAAGAGTTAAAAATGCAAGTCAAAAATTCCCAATAAATGAAAGATAATTCAAAAACACGTTTTAATAATTATTAAATACTTACAAAAGCTTTTTTACGAGTCAATGTTATTTATTATAATTTATATTATAGTTCATAAAAATGCGTCAAAAGCGCACGTGCTTTTTTACTTAAAGCGTCTTTCACTTTTCTATTCAAATCATTTATCCATTTCTAATCGGAAATGAATTTAGGAATCATAAATTATTATTTTACAAGTATTTTAATTTCCTCTTAACACTTTTACATAACTAGAATTTATATTTAAAATATATTTACTTCATTCAAGAAAAGAAAAGTTAAATCATATTTGCTTACAAATTTAATCCGCCATTTGTAAAAACGGCAAAAGCGGCTTCACTTTTCGGATCGAAGTTAGACATCTAGTTTATATCATTGATTTTAGGATTTATAGCTGCTTCTAGGAAGTTTTCATTGTACAAGTTAAAAAATTGATACGCTAATCGTTAAACAGAATTCGTTAAACTAATCGTTAAACAGAATTTCAGAGAACTTTTTTTGTATAATTTTCTGGCGTAATTTGTTAATTTTTTAAATTTATATATTTGTTATATTGACCACCTTAAATTGTATAGCAATTTGAAGCTACATTTTAATTACTTGCACAAGTGAAAATAATTAAGAATTATTTTATACTCTTCCATAAAATTTAAAAAGGTTTAAAAACTAAAGACTGTTGAATTTCAAAAATTTGCATAATATTATTTCCAATAAATGTATACCGCTTTAATCTCTTCTAAAATTCAAAGTGGACTCGTTGTCTTGTGTGGTCACAGTAAATAATCGAATTCTAATTTTTTTAAATTTAATCAATCTAAACTTATTTTTTGAAACTAGTCGTTTTACAATGTTGTTGTAAAAAACAGCAAAAAATCATTAAAATAAAATGCCATAAAATGTACAAAAAAAAAAAACTTACCGTAGACGCGTTTTTTTTTAGTACATCAGTAGCGTAGACGTGTTTTTTTATTTATTTATTTTATTTGGATTTCAAAAAAATATATATTTTATCAAGAAATGCATTGGAGTTTGAGTACCTCGGTTATGTAAAATTTAAAAACTTCTCATGTTAGAAGTTCATTAGTTATACAAAAATGCTCTCAACGCTAAAAGATTTTATTATAAAACTTGGATAATATCAAATTTAATCATAGAATTATAATCTAGTCTGGGACAGATTAAAATTTATTTTAAATAAAACACAAAGTGTAAAAGGAGAGGCGAGGAGACAAGGGTAAAATTTAAAAACTTTGTGTTTGTTTGGAGGTTCCAATTACAGTAAGACGTCTTCAATTTATATCAGTATAAAATGAAATCTTTTATGAAAGTTACCTATTCCATTCACTTAAAAAAAACAAAAAACAGACTACGATCTGATGAGCTGATACAACACTAGAAAATAGGAGGTAGAAATTGACTGGGTTTAGATCAAATTTCATTAAAAAAAATTGACAAAAAAAATTCGCTTTAAACCCTAAAAAACAAAACTCCAAAATAAAAAAGAAATTTATACAATTAAATAGCTAAACTTTACAGTCTAACAAAATATTTTAAGGAAATCTACAACCAAATAAAATCTCTCAGAACAATCGGTAAAAGTTTCTTCGTAGAAATATGTAGAACATATCGATAAGATGTAAATTAGCAAACTCAAATTGTTTAGACTAAACAAGACTTAAGTCAAACAGCAAGTAAATTATAATAAATAACTTATTAACCAAGTAATAGCTAAGTAACTTACTTATTAACGTTAAGTCATGTTTAATATAAACATTTTTGCAATAAACCATACGATAAAAATGTAGATGTTGCAACATATATTAAAGTATTTCAAGGTCGACGTGACGAACTTCCGGATGGTTTTTCTAAATAGGAAAAACATAGCAAACCAAATATATATATATATATATATATATATATATATATATATATATATATATATATATATATATATATATATATATATATATATATATATATATATATATATATATATACATTTATAAGCTAATAATCAAATGACCATTATAAACAGTATCAAAAATTGAAATAAAATACAAAAAGATAAAACTTCTACTTATGCGAGTTCTACTAAATTTTACCTTAATGTTCCTCTCTAATCGATCAACTTGTGCCCCGAGAACATCAATAATCTGCTCTCCGTGTTCCAAAAGAAATTGCTCTAGCTCTTCTGGTGTTTTTATTTTCATGACACTCTTAAAAGAAAATTGGTCTTGAAAAAATGATTAACCAAAAAATTTTAAAATAAAAATGTTAAATCTAATCAAAATATTCTAGAAACTAAAACGCTTTAAAAGAAAAATGTTGATTCTAATCAAAATATTCGGTAAAAATATTATTGCACTAATTCTTTTGCATCTTAAATATTACCTGCAAAACTAAATTCATATCAAGTTGGTTAAGATGAACTCGAGTTATTTCTCTTCCATCAAAATTCAATTCTGCTTTAAAACGTACAGTGTCGGCTCCTTCAAAAAAAACATTTTAATCTGCACTTCAAAAGATTTTTAAATATAAAACTTTTCAAATAGAAATTCATAGAAACAGAATTTTTTAAATATTTAAACAAATTTTTTTGTTAACTAATAATATATTTTACCCATCTCTGTTGCTTTGACATCATGTATAGATCTATACACAAAAAAATTAAAATAAACTTCTTCAATTAATGAAATAACTTTTAAAATACAGCAAAAACCTTTCTAACTAGAATCCAAAACAAATTAGAATACAGAACCCTAAAAAAATTTTTAGACACATTCCTGTAAATGATACATTTCTATGCAACAACACAACTTAAATGATACATTTCTATGCAACAACATAACTTAAATCATACATTTCTAAGCAATAATAAAACTTAAAGAATTTTTTAAATGCCTATAAAAGCTTGAGATTGCAATATTCGTTCACATTAAAAACAATTAAATTTTTTCACCAAACATTTTTTGTTAATATCATTTTAATGTTCACATATTGTTACTCAGGTAACTCAAATCCATGCATTGTTACTCATAATTTTGATGATCTCAATTTTTTCATGAGAAATAAAAATTTGTTATTACAAGTTAATTCACTGTTTAAAATGAAGTTTTGACTTATAATAGTCAATAGCAACACTATCACTTATTACGTTTTTGTGTGAAGTCATCATACACAGTAAAATCATTGATTTAGGACCCTCTCTCCGCCCTTGTACGCACCTGTATGCTATAAATAGCCTCTCCCCACCCTCTGCGTACATATGCACTATTCATTATTCAATTTAAAAACTTTTAGTTAACTCAACATTTCTCTTACAACAAACCTTATCACTGAAGAAGTGATATTTCATGGATTTTTAAACAAAATATACAGTAAAAAAAGACTAATATATCATAGAACATGACACCAAAGAGGGTTGGAAAATGTGGAAAAAAAGAACCCTAACACCCCACGGTAAAAGGATACTAACCAAGATTGTCATAGAAAATAGGCAGGTCACCAGGCAGGTCATAACTTTTCAGTTATTGCAGGTCAAGTGCAATAACTGAAAAGTTGCAGCAATCTTGTTTCAAAATGTCAAAGGAAAAAGTTCAATGTCACCTGCATGATCTTAGTTGCAGTTCACAATGCTTATAGGAAGCCCAAGCTAACACAAAAAATGATGCAAAATAAGCTGGAGCAAGAAAAACTAAAGATGATTTGAAAAATTATTAATTAAAAAGTATTTACTTTCCGACATCAAACTAGTAAGAATTTACTAAACAATGTTTATATAATAATTTTCAGGTTTATGGACTAGAGAACTAAGTGTTAATAACCATATCTGGAAAAATCTGGAATATGTTTTCCCTTATTTTCTTTTTAACTCTGCTTTTAGCCACTTCAATGATGATCTGATCAGTGATATGAGGCAGGGGAATGGGAAGATCTACATTGATGAAAAAATAATGAACCAGTTGCAATATATGAATGTCATGGAACAAAGATTGTTGCCACAATTGGCAAGGTAAAAGAAAACCTTCATGCAGGATGAAGTTTCATGCAGAATGAGGAATTTAGTTAAGTTAGCTGACATGGTGCCCTATTCTGCATGAAGATGCAGGAAAGGGCACCTATTCTGGCTAAATCAACTAAATAATATTCAATACTAGCAGTAAGTATAACAGAATATTTCATTACTGGATTGGCCTGGAAACTCGACTGATCTAAATCTTATGGGAACTGTTTGGGAGCTCCTTATAAAAGAAATATCTCAAGGAATTATTATAAGGCGTTATTAAATTTAAATTAATATGGTGTAATTATTTTTGACTAATTATTAATAGAACATTATTAGAATTAATTATAGCATTACTAAAAACATAATAAACAACTGCAGACAATGGCAGAAAAAAAAGTTTTAGGTGTAGAGGCAAAATGGGGAGTAATATTGGTATGGATTATTTTGTAGTGATTTTTATATATTAAAATTTTTATATATTGTCAATAAAATACCCAATTCTTAAATAAAAATAACTTTGAAGCATTTAAATCACAAGATAATGTTAAAATAGTAGACTAGATAAAAAATTGTGGATGGCCATAATAAATTATCATACAACTGCAAGCATTACACACTAAACAATTAAACTTGCATAATTGTTTTTTGTGTAATGTGTTTATTATATAAGATATTTTTCGATAGGAAAATAATGTATATGAAGCATACAAAATATTTTCCAATAGGAAAATATCAAATATCAATTGGAAGACCAAGAATTACCACTCTAAAAACCAACTATATAAAAATATATGGGAAAACAATATGAAAAAATAATGGGAATTGCAGTATTTTAATTACTGCAGAAATGTTTAATATATTATGATAACAGTATCAACAGGCTTGGTATTGTAATATTGGTAACAGATTATAAATTACAATATTGTAATATTAGTAACAGATATTAAATAAGATAATTAAAGAAACACAAAATACAACCAATTAAGAAACAAAATGCGATGAAATAAAAAATTTACATTATTAATAAGGATGTGGTGGGATGAGGATAAACCTGCACACTTTAAAGATGTTTTGTTAAGGACATTAATCTTTTATCGATCATGATGCATTAAAGCTATTCTCAAAAAAATATTTGTGATCACCTCAAATTTTGAAAAAAACAAGAATTGTAATGTTAAAATGTGACTAAGTTGCATGTTCTCTTGCAATGTCCAATATAGGCAGTTTGCAGCACACCAATGCACAAATGCAATTAATGGAGTTGCTTTGTGGTCAAGCAACTTAAAACCCCATTGATAACTGTTGGCTAAAATTGAAAGCATGGGTTCTTAAAACGAAACCAAACCACACTAGCATATATGAGACCATTATGACATTAAACCAATATAAAAGCCTGGTGGCATAAAATAACGCTCAAATATTGTGAATCTCTTAACATATATACTTTTATAAATAACGGGTGGTTACTAAAAATCCGGACAAACTTTCAAGTGCAATTACTCCCAAAGTTTTTATGGTAGAGATTAAATAAAACTATCATTAAAAAGAGTTTTTAGTTATTTATTTATTTTAATTAAGTTTGTCTTCAACCAGTCTGTTTCTTCGGATTCGGCCAACTCTAACACGAGTTGACCCAAAAAGTGAAAATACAAGGTTAAGGTCAATTTTTTTCAGGCAAAGCTTTTTTCTGGTTCGTAGTTGTTTCACGTCTTTTGCTTGCCAGTTACTCTCATATACTTTGTCTTTCAAAATAGCCCAAAAGTCTTCGATTGGGCGACACTCCGGTATGGCTGGCGGATTGTCAACTTTTTTGATAAAATTGATGTTATGAGTCTCGTAGCAGCTGGTCACAGTTTTGGCATAATGTGATGAAGCCAGGTCCGGCCAAAAAATGTAATTACCATCGGCATGATAAGCGTTGATGAACGGCACTAATCTTTTCCTAATACAATTCATTTCATAGATGGCTTTATTGACTGCAAGGCCGCTGGGTATAAAAAATGGTTTTGAAACACCTTTGTCAGAAGCGGCCAGCCAGACAAGCACCTTGGGTTCGAACTTGCGCTTTTTGCGATATTTAACGCTTGCTGGAGTCTTGTCTCTGTTGCTAGAGTAGTAGCGTGAAGTAAGACTCATCGTCAAGGATGACCAATTTTCCTTTACAAACGCGATAAAGACAATCAATGCCAGTTTTGATTTGCTCATTCTGGTTCTCTTGTCGATGAGGTATACCCTGTTTTGTATAACTTTTGATGTCAGTGTACTTGGCAAGAGTTTTAATGATATGTGAATGACTGCATCCAAATTTTCGACCAGCTTACCTCATCGAAACTTGGTCACTGTGATCAAATATGGCTTTCAGGCGCTTGATCCTCTTAGGGGTCATGATTTTGGCCACACGACCACTTCCTTGCACTCTTTTGTGCCCAGAATCATTCTCAACACGTTTGATTATATCATAGATAGTGCTTCTTGGGATTTTTTCAGCATTGAAGTGAGCTACTGTGAACTTTTTACCTTGCAATTTATTATTCAAATAGAACTCGTAAATCCGTTTTCTTACCTCTTCTTGCTTGGTCATCATTATTTTTTTAATTATTATTAATTATCTAAAAAAAAAAAAATTAACTTATAGAGAATTAAATAAGCTATAAAATGGATATAAACATGAATAAAAAAGATTTAGCTTGTGGCATTTAAAATTCAGTTAAAGTTTGTCCGGATTTTTAGTAACCACCCGTTAGGATTCATAAAAGTATATATGTTTAGCAAAATCTCGTTTTAAGTAATTTTTGTAGTAGTATTTCTTAAAATTGTCTTCTTAGGGGCTGTTTATATGGAAAGCGAGCTGACTCATTTGCCACGCTACCCCGTTTATGGAGATCTCTACATTATTATTTTAACTTAATTTTATTTAGCATTTATATGAACAAACGAGTTAGCCCAGATGGCAAGATCTTATTGTCTTTTGCCAAGAATTCAGCAAACGGACTAGGTAATTTCTCATATAAATTTTTCATTTAAATTAGTATACATGTTTTTTTTACATTTTTTTAATTTAAAAGTTATTATTATTAGAAATGCCAATTTCCGTGTGCTTAAAATTTTAATTATTTTGCTTTTATAATTTGCAATTATACCAGTTTCAATTTAATTATTTGCAGTTATAATTATATTGCTAACAACTCATTCGAAATGATTTTACTGATAAAAACAAAAAGAAAAAACTTTAAATGGGATCACAATAAAAAACCTTATAAATTGTACAATCAACTGTAAAGCAAGAATGCTTTAAAAAACCTAGAGTTTGATGCCGATAAAGTTGCTTTATATAGAGAAGTTTGCTTTTCAATGGTAGAACTCTATAATAAAGATGAAGAATAATATTTTGGTTCTGTTGCCATCGAAACTACAAATGAAAAGAAAACAAAAGAAGCAAAAAAATGAGGGATTAAATGAGTTCAATAAAAATTGAAAGAAATCCAACAAAAATTTTCGAAGTCAAAGTGGAAGTGGTAAAATTATATTTGAGTTTTATGACCAGCTTATATCCCTGTGGATTGGTTCAGCCAATATTGAGCCACTTAGATATGGTGTAAAAGGGGATGATTTTATTGAAACCGAGGAAACTCATTTATCAATTGATCATAATTTATTAGAGAAGGTAGAGCCTGTCAACAACAATGATGCAGCAGATAATAAATTTAACCTTAAAAAAAGAAAAAGTAGTATATCACAACTCATTGACAACAAATGAAAGCACCTGAAACGAAATTGAAGTGCCGCTCACCGTTACAAATACTGTTCAAAGAAGCTAAAGACGATATTCAAATTAGAAAAGAAATGGCAGAAGCGATGCGAGAGTCAACAAAACGTTTTACAGAAAGTACTAACGCAATAAGTAAATCAATGACTAACCTGGAAAACACCATAAGTTGTTCTACTGATTTTTTTGGCACACACTATAATACAAAATCAACAACAATCATCAAGCCAAAATCAGTTCTATCAACATCCATTAAATGTATATTCACATAATGCAACTTAGTCCTTTGGCATTACCAACAAATACTTGTGTTCAAAAAATAGTGACAAAAATATTGTATTTATATTACTATAACTGCAGAAGCAGTACATACTGCAATTCCAAAAGTGTTTGCAGTCATACCTAAAGATCCACTATTTTTCAAGTAGTACAAATTTCTACTTTTTTAGCTGCTGATAAAGCTCTAGAGTCAGGCAAAAGAGGATTAGGAAATAAAATGTGAAAGCTTTAAAATATTTCTCAACACATCAATGGGAGCTACACCAGTTATTATATTTTGCCACCATAAATCACTTCGGCCAGTTTTAAACCAGCAGCTACGATTTTTTCTTTTTAGGCACTTCTCTCTTTCTTATTCCATCTTCTGAAGTAATCATGAACATTTATGTTAAAGAATGTTGAAAAAGTTATCAAACTTTTGTGCTTACACAACACTATCTTTAAAGTTGAATTATTTGTGTTATAACCATAGATGAGTATTTGTGTTATAACCATAGATGAGTATTTGTGTTATAACCATAGATGAGTATTTGTGTTATAACCATAGATGAGTAATTGTGTTATAACCATAGATGAGTATTTGTGTTATAACCATAGATGAGTATTTGTGTTATAACCATAGATGAGTATTTGTGTTATAACCATAGATGAGTATTTGACTTTATGAAAATCCGGGAAATTTTTTTTCTATGATAATCCCGGAAAATTCCAGAAAATTGTTCAAACCGAATTTAGATTATTTTAAAACGGAATTTAGATCATTTAACTTTTTACAAAAAAGAATTTCTAATATTCGAAAAAGTTTGAATGAATTAAAAAGCAAAAAAAAATGAAGAAAAAAAATTGTTACGAAAATCGATCTCGTGAAAATTTTAATTATAGAAAACATATTTGTTTAAATGCAAAAGTTGTCGTATGTAATTTTATGTAAAAATATATTAATTTTCAAATTAATATCAAAACACATCCAAAAATTCCTGGAAAAATTAAAGGTGTTTTATGTGAATTTTCGGAATTCCGGGAATTTCCGGAAAAAACTCATCTATGGTTATATCAGAAGTTAAACAAATTGTACAAAATACAATGCATTTTATTGTCCACAGCATTAATTTTTAAGCATTAAGTTATTTTTGTGTTTAGTTTCAATTATAAAGAATAATTACTCAGATGAAAATTTAAACAATGTCTTGGTCAGGAAGGCGTGCAATATAAAGCATGCATGCCATTATATGACAAAACAAATAATATTTTATTTTGACCACAGCTTTTAATATTTCAAAAACACTTTTTTAGAAATTACTAATAATGATTTTTGTTTAAAGTATCAATGAAAGTTGCATATGATATTTTTTATTTATAATACATAACTTATATAAGTATGCTTTTGATAAAAATTATTAAAAAAAATAATTATTATTTTACGTTTATAAATAATATATTTTTTAGACAGCGGCAATCTTTTTAATAAACTTTATGCAAAGATCATTAAAGTTGATACATCCAAAACAATAAAAACTTTGTTTTTGCAAGCCGTTTTTAAATTAAGTAATTAAAAACTTTAAATAATTTTAGTTTTTTGAGTTTTATTTTAATTGCGTTATTATTATTTTTTGTGTTTTAGTTTAAGCTAGGTTTTTTTAATTTTCTCTTTTGTTAAGATTTCTAATTTTATTATGAATAAAGATTTTTTTAAAGTTTTTTTTTTTGTCTAGTCTTGATAAGTTCAGCATTTTTTAAATGTTCAAATTTTCAAAACATATTAACAGCCATGGTCAATTCATCAAAATAAACTATTTTATTTGCACGACCATATAATGGCGTGAAACTGCTCGCTTTCTGATTAAGATATATATATATATATATATATATATATATATAAATATAAATATATATACATATATATATATATATATATATATATATATATATATATATATATATATATATATATATATATATATATATATATATATATATATGTATATATGTATACATGTATACATATATACATATATACATATATATATATAAATATACATATATATATATATATATATATATATATATATATATATATATATATATATATATATATATATATATATATATATATATATATATATATATAGGCCTTGGTGGGAAGAAATGAGTGCAAGAGCGGCAAAAAGCTCTCCTAAAACAAACATGGCGAGCTATCCGAGCTGCTCTCGCATTCTAGTTGCAATGATAATTATACTTTTGAAAGAAAAAATTATACTTTTGCAAGAGCCATAAATTGCTCTCGTAAACCGTTTTAGGGGAGTGTGGGCAAGAGCTAAAGCTCTCGCTTCCCGTCGAGGCCTTTATATATATATATATATATATATATATATATATATATATATATATATATATATATATATATATATATATATATATATATATATGCACATACTAGTTTAATAATCTGTATATATCTTTACTGATTAATAATTTTTTTTTTTATAATCGATGGATCATACATGACAAAAGTAGTTTTTTATGCACTACAAAAATACCCAATTAAAAATCTAGTATGTAAAATACTGTCGTAAGTAGTTTTTAAAACAGTTCGTTTCAGATTTCTTTATTTTAAATTTGTTATACTAGTTCACTAAAATAACCAACAAAGATATGTAAAAAAATTCACATAAACTATTTAACCGCATGCAAAAAAAAATTTAAAAAAAAAAAAAAAATACTATGTAAAAATTCAAATTTTTGCGTGATAATTATTGTGATAATTAAATGAATTTAAATTTTAAAAATTACCAATAATTAAAACTCATTCTTACAAAGTTCATCTAAAAGATATTTTTCATTATATAATTTTGGGTATTTGAGTAGGAAACAATAAAAGAGTTTTTATAATTATACTAAAACAATTATATTTAAAAATATTTACATTATAAAAATAAAAGAATGATACTCACCTAACCATAATATCATTTTCTAAAATATTTATAATTTGTCTCAGCCGATCAGGATGGATTGATCTAATGCAAGCAATAAAATATGAGATGAGAAAAATCAAATCAAAATGCTAAGAGCAAAAACAAACAAAAAACTAACTGGGTTAGAACTTACCTTCCCATCAAAAAATCAGCATTTCGTTGTATAAGAAAAGCAGCTACAACACCCAGCAGACCTGGGACAAAAAATACAAACAGCAATAACTAAAAACATCAGCAGTAATAATTTAAATAGCAATCAATAGTTTTAATATTTATTTTATTGGTGATTATTTAAACTTATGATTTACAATAATTTTACAGTGATTTATATAACTTTATGTTTTTAAAAATAATTAAGAAAAAAAAGAGTTCTATTAGGCAAGTTAAAAATAAAAGTTAAAATAAAGGTTGGGATAAGTGAGATAAACTAATCATCCTAAAAATGTAATATGTGCTGGTAAATTTAAAACATTTGATAGGGTTGATGTATATCTTTAAAAACATATTCTCTCAATAAATAAAATATTTCAATATATGTTTTGTTTTCAAGAGTAAGATCACTTTATAAATTGTTTTTTTTAAATATGATAAACATTAAAACATTCAAGGTATGGTAGATGAAAAATGTTACATAAATAATACTATAATTTCTAATGTTTTTAATTTATAGCCTTGAGGTTTCTCATTTTAAAAATTTAAATAGGTTACATACTATACAGAATTGTATCCCATAAAATAATAAGCAACTAATAACCATTTAATATAACCCTTTACTAGTAAAATCATAATAACTATTTGTCAGTGTGTGTCCATGAGTGTGACACCTGGTCAAACTCTCATAATAAAATCTAGGTTTTCCAAAATGTTGGCTCAGAGTTTTGATATACATGGTGAACATCACAAAATAAAATAATGAAATGTATAAGTTTGTTTAAATGTCAACTAGTTTCAAACGCATTAAATATGTATAAGGAAGCAGACCCACAACTTATATTGAATAATTGCAAATATTTATATATTGAAATATTTTTTATATTACAATCAGAAAAGATTGACAAATAAAAATAAAACATTCAGTTTTAATAAAAATTATATATCTATTTTACAAAAGTTTTTTTTTATCCTTTTTAAAACAAAGTTTTTCTTTTTTTTGTTATTTATTTACATTTTAATTATTTTATTTAGAATTTATTATACTTGATTTATTTTTCGAAAACTCCTTTTAATGGTTCTGAGGCCAGCTGGAAGTAAGGTTTTCCAAACTCAGAGACTGATTCCATTAACAACAATAACTTTGTTACTATTTTGGGTTGATTAGAATATCATGCACTATCAATAAATGATATCAATGAGGTTCTCTAGAAATTTAAAACAAAACCAATTTACAAACTAAAAACATTAAACAAACAAACAAAAAAAATCATTAAAGACCCAAATAGTCACATACTTAGTATATATTGGATATCAATTCACCTATTTGTCATTAAAAAGGTTTCAATCCTGTGACTATTCTTTCATGTACTTTTGTTTAGTACCTTTTTACTCAACCACATTTCTTTTGTTATTTTTTACTCAACCACATTTCTTTTGTTATTTATCATTCTCCTTCATCCTAAAATGACATAATTTTTGTAAAAGTTGGAATTATTCCAGCTGTCAGACTTCTGCCTCTGTCACATAGTCATAAAACCATATCTCTCTTTTGTATGTAATACTTGTTCCATCAACCAACACTCGCAAGATTAATTATTCAGTAAAGTTGCATTTTTTACTGTAACTTCTTGATTAAAAAACTTGATCTATTTATCTTTCTCAAACATTGGTGAATTGAAATCCTGTCTTCATGTTTTCTTGACTTGTACAATTTACAGTTTTTCCTTCTCACTCTTTAACTCTCTTGTTTTTGTTGACTTTCAACTTCAGGCTTGGACGGGAATGGCGTGCGATCACGCGCTTTGTTTGACCACGGGAACAATAATTTTTTTAGACAATTTAACCACGGTTGCTTTGACAAATAAAACGCTTCAGAAATGCGTCGAAAGAAACTAGTAAAATTTACGAAATAACTTTTAATCGTTTACCTTTTTCAAAGTTTTTATATTATGTGAACACCTTTAAACAAAATAACAAATTACTTTAAAAGATTGCTTAAAATAAACAAATTATTATTACGAAAACGTATACGAAACTTTTATTTAAGTTTGTTTTCTAACGCTTAAAAGTATTTTTTTATGTTTTTATTTTAAATCTTTCAAACGAATATTTTGTTTTTCAAAGATTATTTTTTGAGCGAATTTTTATAACGAAAGTAATGAATAAGCTCGAAACTTTATGAACGACGATCTTTAAGATCTTCTTTCAAAACGTTTTGAGATTATTCGTTCACAAAAATCATCTTTGCTTAAGTTTGTATATTATGTGAAGGCATTTAAACAAAGTGAAAATTACTTCTAAGGATTACTTTCATTTCGTTTATATCACCAAAGAATATCTAAGTTTTTTTGCATTATTATATTTATAAGCATGTTTTTTTTTTTTTTTAATGTAAACGTTAGAATATACCTTTCCATGTTTTTATTTTAAATCTTTTAAACGAATATTTTGTTTCTGATAAACGGTAGGAATTAATAATTTTTTTTTAAAACTTTACATGCGAAACTTTAAAATAAATCTACTAAGTGTTTGTAACGATTATTTTAATTAGACGCTTTATTAAAAATATTTAAAAATGTTATTTGTAACATTTTTTTTCCATCCACAAAGTCTACCGTCACGCTAAGTTGAACTAATTCCTTGTCAAATAATTAGTTCTCCTTCGCGGAGATATTCATTAAACATAAGCAGGTAAACAATAGACGTTACTCTTTAAAGTCTTTGCGCATGAGAACCAATGCTTTTAAAAAGCATTTGCTCTCTTGCGCAAAGATTTTAAAGAGTAACGTCTAATGTTTACGCCGTTATGTTTAATGAGAATTTCCGCGAGAGAGAACTAACGATTTGCATGATAAGTGCTTACGATAAAAGTGTATGATAAATGTAAAAGTTAAAAAGTATTTTTTTTTGTCATGCAATGTTTATGAATCTTTTAAACGAATATTTTATTTATTACTTTAAATTACGACATCAAAAATTTTGAAACTTTATTAAAAAACTTAAAAATTATAGTGTGAAGCACTTATAAATAAAGTGACGAATTAATTGTTAAACAAAATTTAAATTAAGAAAAATCTTATTAAATAATTATTATTCCGATGCATAACAAAATTTATCGGATTCAAAAAATGCAACTAAGAAGAAATATAAATTTATAAAATAAAGCTTATTGATCAATAATCCAACGGATTTGATTAAAAAAATATATATCAAGGTATAACAGCCCTATTCTGACCGTTTATTCAGCGGTCTAGCTACGACTGAACTCTTGCTGGAAAAATGTATTAACGCTCAGCCTGACAACAACAAAAGACCTAAACGTTGTAGCAATAAAGCGATTCAATAGTTTAACTTGTTTGCAAAAAATAAAGTAACAAAAGATAAAAGTCATTTATTTCTAACGTTAACTAACGTAACTTAAAATAATTGTCGCTTTGAGTTAGTACTTTTACAGTTTTAGTTTTCTTTTCTCTTCTTTCGTTGGAAATGTGTAAAAAAAAAAAAATACATATTTTTTAAATTGTTCTCTATAATTTAATTTAGTTTGGTTATTTTAACGCATTTCCCATAGGCCGAAAAAACGTATTTATTAGTCAAAACATCAAAGCAACCGTGGTTTTATTTTCAAAACATTGTTAATATGTGCGTGGTCAAACACAGCGTCCGATCGCACGCCATTCCCGTCCAAGCCTGCAACTTTAATGTTTACTTCCAGCTATTTAGAGCTTTTTGTTGACTTTTAACTTAAATGTTTGTTTCCAAAGCTAAATTAATTTAAAAAAACAGGTATTTCCTTAATAGTTAATTAATGAAAATAGAAAGCACACTATTTGCTTTCTTTTTCTGACATTGTTTTTGTTTTGTTTTAAAGTTTTAGTTTAAAACAACACCATTTGCTAAAACTCATAAAAATGCCCTAGAAAAAAGATTTTTTGGTGATATCTACTAGTACTATATAAATATTAGTAAAAACAATCATTACCACCCAAACAACTCACTAAGTATCATTACCACCCAAACAATTCTGAGACTACCATTGCCACCCAAACAATTCAAAGACTATCATTACCACCCAGACAATTCACAGACTATCATTATCAGCCAGACAATTTACAGACTATTATTACCACCCAAACAATTCAGAGACTACCATTACCATCCAAACAATTTACAGATAAAAATTTTAATAACAATAACAATGCTAGTTTTCCTTTATACTCATTTATATTTTGAGTGAGAGCAATTTTGCATAAACACTTTTCCAAACCATTTTTATTCAACCTAAACACAGTGTTTGGACTCAACATGGCCTATATATAAACTAAAAACTGGAAATTTAAACGTAAAACATTCAAGCAATCGAAATAAATATATTTTTGAAATTTAAATATAAAAAGCCAAACCTCCAATTGCAATAGATCCACAAGCATCATACACAGGGTTTCCAGTATATACAGTTAATCCAATGGAAGCAGTAGCTATAAGTACACCTAAAACAGCAGCACCATCTTCTAGCAACACAGCTACTGCATTTGGATCACGGCCACGAGAAACTGAAATAAAAATTTAAAGAAAAATTTTAGGTAATCAAATATCTTGTATTCTGAGATAGAACTAGTCTTTAGTTTCGAATTTTCACAAATATCTTGTAACCAATGTTGGGATCAAACACATATTTGTATTTGGTAAAAATGGGCTAATGTTGTGTGTTTGTATTGTATTGTATTTGATTAAAAAATTTCCTAAATATTTGTATTTGCACTTGATTGAAATGTATTTGCGGTTTGGTTTTTTCATTTTTAAAACTAAAATAAATTAACAATTTGTTTTTAAGGGATATTTGTTAGAAGACTTCTTTTCATTCTATATAGCACACCAATTTATCAGTCTTATCTTGAAAAAATCATTATACTTTTTCCTAACCTAAATTACAAATATTTATTTTTGAATTTGTATTTGAAAATCTAGAATTAACGTATTTGTTTTTGTATTTTCTCAAATGAATTTGACTTACATCTCATTAAGTTTAAAAAGAAAGAAAAAAAAAATCATTGAAAAAAGACAACATACTGTATTCACGAAATGTTACACCGGTTTCTTGAGCACTTTTTCGAACCTGCTGAAATGCAAGTACCATGGATGCTAAATAAAAAATTTTTTAATTAAAAAAAAGGAATAAACTATCTTATGATATCATAACTTAAAAAATTTGTGTTATTTAAAACATTTCAAAAGACCTTTATTAGTAAAATGAACTAAAATTTGTGTTATTTAAAACATTTCAAAAGACCTTAATTAGTAAAATGAAATAAAACTTGTGTTATTTAAAACATTTCAAAAAGCCTTCATTAGTAAAATTAACTAAAGACACTGATTATAAAAATCTTATTAAAAGTTCATAGAAAGTCTGATTTTAAAGAAAAACTATTTATATATACATATAACTTATAAACAATAGTTATCTATGTGTATAAAAAAATATATATCAATATTTTATGCTATTTTATAAAATTTCGCAAACTGACTGCATTAGTAATAAAGAAATAATTATTTGCTTGAAAAAAGATTTAAAAAATCAACTTTTTATTCTTAGATTGTTATTTACTTTTTATTCATAATTCAAATCAAATCTTTATAAATTATTCTTGATATTCAGTGTCTATGTCAAATATGTTAGTGTATTTTACAAAAAGAGTGCTAAATATTCTTAAAGAACAAAGCAGTAATAAATTAGTAAAAAAAAAACACTAACCCTAACTTGAGCTTCTACTGTCAGTTTCTTCTTGAGCAGAATCATTAGGAAGTAAACCAAGATATATATATATAAAAAAATCCTGATGATCCTGCAGAAGGAGAAACTGACAGTAGAAGCTAAAGTTAGACAATATATATATATATATATATATATATATATATATATATATATATATATATATATATATATATATATATATATATATATATATATATATATATATATAAATATATATTGTTGTTTATTATTGTATCTGGTTGAGATACAAATCCTCTTGTTTACTTGAGAGTGATCATTATAATGTAAAAATAATTTTTACAAAATAGATCAATATATATATATATATATATACAAAGTATAATTAAATAGAAAAATACAACTTTATAATGGAACTAAAAGTTTCATGCCTATCGAGTGTTGGTTAAGCCATATATATTATACAAATCAAGAAAAAATCGTTAAAAAATACAAAATACAAAAACAGCAGTAGAATGAGTTCCGACGTCAAAACAAAACAAATAAAAAAGAAGCATAATTGTAAAACTGCTAACCGCCAGTGTCAAATTGGGCAAGAAGAAATTTGTTTTTATGCCGGCACTTAGGCAATATTTCACTCTATTTATTTAACAAATTTGGGTGTTTAAAAAATAAAATTTTGTACTTTTCGTTTATGCATAAGTTACATCGTTTTGTTACAGGGTTATAGGCATCGCACTGTTTAACTATTTTCCACCTAACAACCGGGTTCAAGTTTTCATCTTTTAATCTCCAAACCTCCTTTGATAATTCAGTGTCATTTTTGTATTTGGAAATTTTAAAAGATTTTATGTGATTAGCATATCTAATTTTAAAAGATGTTTTGCTTAAGCCAATGTAAAATTTATTGATGGGAGTTTGAACAAGATCGTTGGAACATACATTAGCTTGATATACTATATTTTTTGTTAAGCATTGGTTTGATAAAGGGCAGGTGTTTTTATCTATGCAATTGCAATTATTTTCAGCTGATTCTTTCTTGTTGTTTATAACATGGCGATTGTGGGCGTTTAAAACGGATTTCATATTCGGCATACAGCTATAACTTACTTTTAATGTATTTCTGTTAAAAATTTTGTGGAACTTGTGATTTATAGGGAAGTGCTTATCAATTAATGTTAAAAATATTTTTCCTATATTCGTGCTAACGTTTTTGCTAAAAGGGGGGTTGAACCAAATGATGTCACGTTTACGGTTCTTGGTGTGAGATAATATTAAGTTAGGTTGGTAAGAAAGATTGTAATTAAAACCAGACTTTTTTAATGCTTCATTATACATAAGAGTGGATTTTTGAAAGATTTTCTAGCTTGACGAATTTGCTGATAATCTTAATTCAATAGAATGTGGGAGTTGCTTTAAAATACTGGATGGGTGGTTTGATTCAGCATGAATGTAATTTAAAGAGTTTCCGGGTTTGGAGTAAGGTTGATAGGTGTGGTTGTTTAGGTTTAATGTAATGTCCAGATAATTTACGATTTTTATGTTGCATTGTGTTGATATCAGAAGATCGTTCGATTTAAATATTTTAACATGTTTTATTTTAGTTATTGTTTAGGCATGAAACTTTTAATTCCATTATAAAGTTGTATTTTTCTATTTAATTATATATATATATATATATATATATATATATATATATATATATATATATATATATCTTTTATAGCTTTATATAAATATAAATATAAATATAAATATAAATATATATATATATATATATATATATATATATATATATATATATATATATATATATATATATATATATATATATATATATATATATATATATATATATATATATATATATATATATATAGGATCCTAGCTGACTTTTGGGGACATGTTATTTTTGTTCCCATTCTGTTGTTTTTTTTTTTTACTTTTTTTATACTATTTTTATCATATTTATATATATTTTATTTCTATTTTTATTTATACATATTTAAATTTATTATTTTATTACAAAAATATATTTTTTATATTGATTTTTGTTATTTTTATTTATTTATTTTATATTATATTTCATTTTTAACTCCATCTATTCACAAAAACGATTAATTACAATAATATAACCAAATTTAAACCTTGCCGTAACCCTAACCCTAAGCCTGACCTTGATGCCTGGCCAAACTAAACTCTCAGTCGATGTAGCAGCACTCCATTGCGAGTCAGGCTACTTGTCAGTCAATGTGTGTACTTTTCGTTCTCTATAAAAGTTTCTTACGGGTACATTTTTTTACGAAAAAATCATGCTTACGGGGACAAAAAATTAACAAGTACATTAAAATGCACTGACTTTATTTTGCAAGTTTGAGTCAGAAAATGTGTTGCTAGAAAAAAAGTATTATTGAAAAAATCTATATTTTCAATCAGTCACGTTTTAGAATTCCCAATTGTTATAAATGTCCCCGATAATGCTAATGTCCCTATAAGTGTTCGTTTTTTTGTAAAATCTGTGCCCTAAACTATACAAATATATATATATATATATATATATATATATATATATTTTATAGCTTGTTTAGATGAGTATTTGCTCAATAGTTTTGCTTATTTTTATAGTAATCGGCATTTTCAGAAAAAGAAAAAAATGAAGAATAATGAAAGAAAAGAATGCTGCCCCATCCCAAACCCTCAATTGATGTAGCAGCACCCCGCTGCAAGTCATGTTATTTTTCAGTCAATGTATGTAATGACGCCCCCGGCAGCAGGCTCTTTCATTGTGACTTCGGAGTACTCATTTAAACTAGCAATTTAAGTTATACATATACATACATACATATATATGTATATATATATATATATATATATATATATATATATATATATATATATATATATATATATATATATATATATATATATATATATATATTAATAAACAAGACAAACTTTTTAATTAATAAAACCATTTTATTAATTTTAAACAATACATGTTTCGACTATCACTAGTCATCTTCAGTTGAATTTAAATTTTTTCATTTGTTTAAATACCATTAATTTAATTACAAAAATATGACAAAATCTATAAGAATAACAAGTCATACTAAAAGAACGAATTCATATTCGAAAGAATAGGTTAATAAAAATTTACATAGAAAGTAATAACTAAACAGAAAGTGTCATTTGGACATGGTTGACTTGTTTGTTCAAACCAGGTTTTAACTATTCTATGAACATGCTTTCTTTAAGTTTTAATTTGAACTTATTAGATGCTGAACCTAAAATGGAAAAACACTTTTCATTTAATTGCATAAAACAATTTTCATTACCATGGAGATGTTTATAGATATGTGATTTTTTGTCTCTCTTATAATGTTCAGTTATTCGTGTCTTGAGATGGCGAGTAGTTTTGCCTATATAACAGGAGTTACATCCTGCGTATACGAATTTGTAGACCACGAACGATTTGAACTCTAGAGGAATAGGATCTTTAGAGGAAAAAAAATTTGAAACTTTTAGTGAGACAATAACTAGTTTAAAATTTACATAGCAGCAATATCTTTTAACAACTGAATTCAATCTTTTTTTAGTTAATTCCGATATTTTTCCTAAAAACAGTAGTTTAAAGTAAGACGAAGGCTACTATATATATTTAATTAAGAAAAACACGTGCTTCATTTTCTGACTGAAAAGCAGCAAAAATGTCATCAACATATCGTTTATAGAAAACTGGTTTAACACCATTGCAATTTTTAATCCAGTCATTTTCAAAATCGCCCATAAACAAATTGGCAAGAACAGGTGCTAGTGGAGAGCCCATGGCTACACCATCTATTTGATCATAAGTATGTCCTTTAAAAAGAAAATGTGTTTGTGAGGTAGCGAAATTAAATAGTTTTTTTAAATTGTTTTTAGTAATTTTAAATTTGTATTACTAAGCATAATCGAATTAACTGCGATATCAATGGTTTCTTGAAGCAGAACATTAGTATATAAGCTGGTTACATCATACAATACTAAAAATTGTTTATGTAGATTAACCTGACTTATTTCTTTAAC